AATAATAATAATGATGATTCGACACAAATTGAACAAATTGAATCGGAATCTACAACAACGACAACGACGACAACAGCTAGACCAAAAACGAAAAAAGGAAAAAACAGCGCTGGTAAAAAATTAGCTGATGTAAAGCGAAATAAACCGAAAAGATTTACCGATACGGAATTTATCGATAATGAAGATCGATTTGGTGAATTTGTGGGCGAAGAAATTATCGATAATAATGGTGATGATGAGGAAGGAGAGGAATCATTTTAGTAAAAAATTTTCACAAAATTTTTTTTCATTTTAAAATTTAAAAAAAACGAAAATAAACAAAAATGAAAACCAAAAAAAGTAAAATTTTTTTTCTATTCAATTTCAATTCAAAAACACAAGATGGCGATACTAGTGCCTGAAAATTACCGCCAAAATAATTTTCACAAACAAAAGAAATGTTTTTTTTTTGGGAAATACGATTCCCTTTCAAAGAAAGAACAACAAGAAAAAAAAACATCATCCGAAAATAGCTAAGCCAATTTATCGATTTTTTTCCTTTTCTTGAAATGAAATGAATGAAAATGTTAAGACTGTCAAGAAGAAGAAGAAGAAGTTATTTTCATTTTTTCTCAGTGTTATTATTGTTCAATCAACCAAATTTCTTTCAATATTTTTTTTGTTGTTGTTGTGATAATAACATTCGAATGTAAAAAACGAATGTAGAAATCGAATAGAATAGAATGATGATATTGACTATGAACAAAAAAAAAATCAAATTCAATTTCTCTTTTCAATTCAATTCAATATGAATTTGATTTGTCTGTGTGTGTGTGTGTGAAGAAGTTAGGTTAGGTTACGTCAGTCTTGATGAATGTTATACAAGAAGAAAAAAAAATGATTATGAAATGAAATTCTTACATAACACACATTTACCCGGAAATAAATTGTGTGTAACATGAAAACAAAAAACAAAATGTCAATCAAAAAGCCATGACGTTATTTGTTGTGTGAAAATTGATGAAAAATCAATCAATCAAAGATTCGATATATTGACAATGACGACAACCGATGGTCACATGAGGTAAGTAGAAGTTTTTCTTTTTTCTTTTTCTTTTTCTTTGAGGGTGGGTAGTGATTGAAACAAATCACCCACTAACACCATCGCCGTTCTATGGGAATGTTTTTTCTTCCTAAATCAAAACCATAATTATGTTGTTGTTGTTGTTAATGATGTAATCAATTTTTTTTTCTTGGTTAAAATCATTACCATTTTTTTGTCAAGTTTTATTCGACCAAAATAATAATAACCATCATCATCATCATCATCATCATCAGCAGCAGTATAAAAAAGATGCCAAAATTTTTGTTTTGTTTTGTTTCTTTTGCCAAAACAGAATAAGTTGTTGTTGTTGTTGTTGTTAATCGAGAATAATAATAATAATGATGATGATGATGGTTGTTCCAGAAAGAAAGGGTAGAAGAATTGTGTGTTATGCAAAATTATTCTAAACAAAGATTCTGGTTTTTTCTTTTTAGCTCATTTACATTATTATCGTTGTCGTCGTCGTCGTCATCATTATTATTATTATGGAATATTCTTTATAATTAAAAAAAAAACACAGAACCCTTTTGAAAGATTCTAATGTTCCAAAAGAATTTTTTTTGTTGTTGTTTTTTGCTTAACTCTTTTTTTTCTACGAAAAAAATAGTCGTTTTGAAAAGAATTTGTCGTTTTTTTTGTTGTTTAAAAAAAATTCATCTTGTTTTTGTCATCATTAACATCAATGATGATGTCTAGATCGATTTTCAAGATTCTTAACAATTTTTGTTTCGTTTCTTTGAAATTCTTGAAAAAATCTTGACGAAAGAATCGATCGACTTGAAAAAAAATTTCCCGCCGTTTAATGATGCTGATGATTTTCATTTTTGTTTTTTTCGGTTTTTCAAAAACTTTGAAAAAAACAGGAAACATGTGAATTTTTTTCCATTGCAAAAATGAAAGAAACAAATCAATTTCAATTTCGAAAAAAATGATAACAAATTTGCTTTTTGGTCAACCGAGAAAATCGATCAATTTCTAATTGATTAATTATTAACGAAGATGTAATCACTTTTGAAACGGAAAAAGAGAAAAATTTATTATCATCATAAATAAAAACGACAACGACTATGATGGAAAAAATTTTTTTTTTTGTCATTTTATTTATGAATGGCTTAGTTAACCTAACCTGTATAAGAAGAAGAAAAAAAGATTGATTGCCTTCAACAAAACGGTAAATAACGAAAAAAACAAAATTACCTTTCCATTTTCAATGAATTTTCACCTGAATGTTGCAGACAAACAGGAAAAAACATTTACAAAATTGTATATGTGTCAACTTTATTGTGTCATTTGAGTCGAAATAGCAAGAAAAAAAATACAAACAAAATTTATTCTTTCTTTTTCTTTCCTTGTTTCGAGAATATCTTTACCAGATTTGTTTGTTTGCTTTTCTGGTAAGTGTCAAACATTTTTCTCTCTCAAAAATAGATCATGTTGTTTGTTTCTTTTTTTTGTTTATCAATGTTGCTGTTCATAAAAAATTAAATAAGCTCTTTAACTTTTTTCGTTTCTTTTCATTCTGGATTTTCTTGAAACGAAAAATGAAAGTCGTGAATTCTCTGTGATTGATAACACAGTGAAAACAGCAGCGAAAAATAGAATTTATTTTGTTAACACGGATTACGTTGTCGTCGTTGATGATGATGATGACCATGATATATCGGATGACCAAAAAAAAAAAAAAAATGCAATTTATTTATTTATTACTGTAATCTTTTTTTGTTCGCGCCCGATAAAAGAAAAAAAAATCAACCATAACAAAAAAAAACAGAAAAGTTAATAGAAAATGAAAAAACTGTTTATTATCAATCATCATCAGTTATTTACATTGCATAAATTACATATTTATGGATTTCTTTATATGATACACAAAGAAAAAAAATCATTATCATTAATATTGAATATTATTGATTATTCTGGATGGATTCGATCATCATCATTATCATTATTGGTTAAATCATAGCTTCCATAGCTATCATCATCAGTTGAATCGATACTGGAATCATCAGGGTTATTGTTTTTCAATTCTTCTTCTTCTTCTTTGGCCATATTTTCACATAATAATAATGACCGTTGATTATGATCTTCAAACGATTGTTGTGTGATCAAATATGTTTGATTTGAATTTACATTTTCTTCAATAACTGTATCCATCATTGGATGTATTATAATTATTAATGATGAATTATCGTCATTATTTTTGTTGTTGTTGTTGTTTTTATTGTTGTTGTTGTTGTTGTTATTGTTGTTGTTGTTGTTGTTTTTATTATCATCATTATTATTATTATTCAGAATTGTTTTTTGACCAATATTATTGGTTATTAATGATGATGATAATGATTTTTTCATTTTTAAATCATCATTTAAATAATATTTAGATGTTTTTTCCTCTTCTACTTTTTCCGTTGTTTGTTGTTGTTTCGAAATCACACTATCATCAATAATCATTTGATCGATTGAACCGGATTTTATTATTCGACGATTATCATTCGTATGATTATTACTATTGTTATTGTTGTTGTTGTTACCTTTTTTAAATTGTTTATCATTTGTTGTTGTTGGCATCGAATGAAATGAATGATGATTCGAATTCGAATGACGACAATAAATCGATGATTGAAAATAGGATGACGATGGTGATGGTGATAATGATTGATGATGATGATTTAATGGATAAGATTTTTTCAACAAATGTAATTGTTGTTGTTGTTGTTGTTGTTTTAGCTTTGTTGTTGTTGGAATATTGTCTTGTTGTTGTTGTTGTTGTTGATTGATCGATTGGACAATATTTGTATCATCATCATCCTTATTTTTAAATGTTGATTTAACACTCAATGATGCTGTTGGTGGTGGTTCAGACGATATCGATGATTGTGGTGATGAAGAAGATTTTCTTCTTTTTTTTATTATTCTTTTATCATTATCACTGTTGTTATTATTTAATATTATTTTATTCAAAACATTATCATGTTCACCGAAAAAATCCTTTCGATTATTTAATCTTGTTGTTGATTTATTAATATGAAAATTATTATTATTTAAACGATTATTATCATCAACAGTTGTATTTTGATTTGATTGATAATAGTTAAAATGATTGTGATTATTATGATGATGATGATGATGTGCTTTATAAATACGATTACGATTATAGCTTAATGTTGCATTATTATTATTATTATTATAATTCATTAAAAAACATGAACATAATAATTTACGAAATGCACGACGAAAATCTTTTGACCAACATGCATAAATGATTGGATTCATTGCACTATTTAGCCATCCTTTTTTAAAGTTTTGTTGTTTAAGTTTGTTTTTGGATAATCCAGAAAACAAAATGACAGAAAAAGATTTTAATCAGATTAATTTCAATGAAAATTGATGATGATGAAAATCTTTTCGGAAAATTTCTTTCCATTCATTCAAAGAAAAACTTACCCAACCATGTTACAATAGAAAATACTAGATCCGGTTTCATAATACAGATATTTGGACAAATACCCATTAAAATGTTTGTAACGAAAAATGGTAACCTTTTTTTTATTATTATTATTGAAAATGGTTAAAATAAAGCCAAAATGGAAAACTTACCAACATAAGATGAATACACCCATTACGATTCCTAATGTTTTGGCAGCTTTTCTTTCTTTATATTTTATTTTTTTTCGAAATCAAAGATAATAATGATAATAAAAACAAAGCAAAGATTAGTTATAAGTAACAAACGAAGAAATTGTACAGAAAAAAATATAATCAACACTGTGTCTTTGAGGATTGACTTTTGACAGTTTGAAAATTTGTTGTTCGTTTGTTTGTTTGTTTGTTTGTTAATGGTGATAATAAAAACATTCTTTGATAATATCTTTCATTCAAAAATGAAAGAAAGAATAAGAAGCAGAAGAAATCATAAAATCTATTTCATTTCATAAGTAAATTCATTCTCTATTCATAAACACTCAACATTTTCTTTTTGCAAAGTTTTTTTTTCGCACTTGATTTTCTCTATCTAACTCCTCTCATTAATGATTAATTCTTTTTTGTTTTTCAAAAACTTTTTTTTATATTATCTCCATGCGTGTATTCTACCTATTTTTATAAAGTTTATTACAAATTTTCTTCTTCCTCATCTTCAAAATAAAACGAAACGAACCTGAATTATTCTAAATTTAAACAAAGAATTCTCTGTATACATTTTCATTTGAAAACTAAATTTAAATTTTTCTATTGTTTGTTCAAGTAAAATGGTCAATGATGATGATGATGATTAGTCGGCAGTACATGTTTATAAATGATTCAGAAAATTGTTTGTCTGATTTCAATTTCAATTTCAAGTTTTTTTTGTTTTCGTTTTTTGCAAAACAAAATTTATTCAAAAGAAACAAACAGAAAAGGAAACTGTATCATCTTGTCTTGTCTTGGTCTTGGTGTGTTGACTCTTGATTCGACGATTCGATAATTGAAAATGGTCAAACTTTTTACTTTTTTGTTTTTCTCTGTGAAGAAAAAGTTTCACTTTCAACTTTCTATACTTTTTCACTATTCCAAATTCTCATAAACAACAACAGCAACGAAAAGTTATTGAATCGGATGAATTTCAAATGAAAAATGNTTTGTTTGTTTGTTTGTTTGTTAATGGTGATAATAAAAACATTCTTTGATAATATCTTTCATTCAAAAATGAAAGAAAGAATAAAGAAGCAAAAGAAATCATAAAATCTATTTCCATTTTATAAGTAAAGTAAAATTCATCCGCTATTCACTATTCATAAACACTCAACATTTTCTTTTTCAAAGTTTTTTTCCCCTCCACATTCGCACTTGATTTTCTCTATCTAACTCTCTCATTAATGATTAATTCTTTTTGTTTTTCAAGAACTTTTTTTTTATTATCTCTCTATGTGTATATTCTACCTGTTTTCATAATATTACAAAGGTTATTACAAATTTTCTTCATCTTCCTCATCTTCAAAACGAACCTGAATTATTCTAAATTTAAACACAAAAAATTCTCTGTATACATTTTCATTTGAAAACTAAATTTAAATTTTTCTTTGTTTGTTCAAGTAAAATGGTCAATGATGATTAGTCGGCAGTACATGTTTATAAATGATTCAGAAAATTTGTTTGTCTGGTTTCAATTTCAATTTCAAGTTTTTTTTTGTTGTTTTCGTTTTTTGGAAAACAAAATTTATTCAAAAGAAAAAAAAACTGTATCATCTTGTCTTGGTCTTGGTGTGTTGACTGTTGATTCGACGATTCGATAATTGAAAATGGTCAAACTTTTTACTTTTTTGTTTTTCTCTGTGAAGAAAAAGTTTCACTTTCAACTTTCTATACTTTTTCACTATTCCAAATTCTCATAAACAACAACAGCAACGAAAAGTTATTGAATCGGATGAATTTCAAATGAAAAATGAGAAAAATGAAAAACTAGAAAAGAAACAGATGGAAAAACAAAAAACTAATATTCATCATTTTCAACAAAAAATGAAAATATTGCTTAGCTAAACGAAATATTAAAAACAAAACAAAAACAACAACAGAATTTCGATTTCATTTTATCACTTTTGATTGTAAACTTTTCTTTTTTGAAAAAAACTTTTTGAAAATTTTCTTCTTGGAAAAACAAACAAAAAAAAGATGCTACCGTAATATACCTTTGGCCAATTTAGTCAGTCGTCGTCCAACTGATAGATTTGATTTTACTGCAACCGTTGTTGTTGGATCATCATTATTTGAATTACGATGACCATGTTGTTGATGAATATTATTATGTTTTTTTAGTTTTTTTTTATTTGAAAAAATTTCGGGTAATGTTTTTTTCATTATCATTGAATCATTATCGTTATTATCCAAGCTCATCATTGAATTATTATTATCATTTGATATTCTATTCACATCATTATAGGATTCATCATCATTATTGTTATTTGTATTTAGTTTCTGATCACGAATCATTATTAATTTCATTAGATTAATATCACAATGTTTGTTTTGTCCGGAAAATTTTTTCCGTTGTTTTTTTTGAGCAGCCAATGAAGCTGATGCTGAAACTGCGGCAGCGGTTGCGGCTGCTGCCGCTGCTGCTGCTGCTGCACCACCACCACGATGAATACGTAGTTGAAAATTTTGACGATAATCTGCATTATTGAGGTTTTGTTGTTGTTGATTTTGGCTATTAATATCATTATTACTGCTTGTTTGGCTACTATTTTTAGCATTTTTATTCATTGAATGAATTTGTTGTTCATTAAAATGACCACCACCACCACCACCAAAACCAATACAGGACATTTCAATTTGTTTAACACCAGATTTTAATGAACGATTTTGTTCACAAGCAACAACATAAATACGATAATAAGTAAATACCATTATTGTTAATGGACCATAAAATGAAATGATTGATGAAAATACTAGATAACCAACATCATCAGTAAAATTACAACGATATGGTTCGATTGGTTGCTAAAAGAAAACAACAACAAACAAAAGAAATTCAAAAGTAAATGACAATTTTTTTTTGTTTTTGAAAATAATATTCAGCATTTTTTTCTGGGCAACGAAAAAAAATAGCAAAGAAAGCCTTTGGGCAACAAAAAAACAGAAAGAAAATTTATGGAAACAAAAATTCTGAAAAATTGCTAATTTCCTTTCTTTATGCATATAAAAAATGTTTTCTATTGTTTTTTCCTACTTCTCCTGCTATCCTGATCAGGAGTTGAATTGAAAATTGAAAATTTCGATGTTTATTTTGCATCCAAATAACGAAACGATCGATCGATTGATCGATTGCTGATTGTGAACAAACAAATTTTGTTTTTTTTAAATGAGAAATTCAAATTGAAAAAAAAATAAAAAATCTAAACAAGTATCAAAATTTAACACACCGGAAACCAAACCAAATAAAACGATTTGTAAATGTTTCCAGCAATTTTATTCCAGTAAACGTTTATCATTTAAGCAAAATAGATTTGACACGAAAAAAAATTCGTACATTTACAAATCGAATAGGGAAAAAAACTGATTTCCGTTTCTAAATTTTTATGTTTTTTGAATGGTGGAAAAAATCTGACTATATCTGTTTTCCGATTTGAATTTGGTTTGATTCTGTTTTTTTTTGTAATGGGGAATATTCTCTCTTTTTTTGCTGTTGGAAAAAAAATTGATAAAACACAAACCTTGGCAACAGCACGCCACCAAACAATGGCTGGAAATGATATTAATGCCGAACAAAGCCATAAGCTTAATATAAATATAAATGCTTTACGTGGTGTCATTCGTGATGGATATGTTATTGGATCGGTTATTGCCCAATAGCGATCTATTTTTTTTTGACCAACAAAACAAAAAAATGATACATCATATGTCAAACATCAATTCAGCACATTGATTGATTAATCAATTAACTAACCTAATGAAATAACACAAAGATTCAATATACTTGCCGAACTAGCAAGTACATCAAAACTATGCCATAAATCACACCTAAAAATGAAAGAAAAAAGCAATAATAATAATTTGAAATCGTCAATTTTTACAAACATACCAATCTTGTCCAAAAATCCACCATTTATTCATTACTTCATGTACAACTGAAAATGGCATTACAATCGATCCGACTAAACAATCAGCAAATGCTAATGATGCAACAAAATAATTTGTAACCGTACGAAGATAACGTTCTTTACAAATAGATAACATTGTTAAACCATTACCAAATACAACAATTATACAAATAATTCCAAGTAATATTGCTAAACCCGGATAATGTATACGTAAATCTGGTTCCAATATGACTATTGTTTGTTCAATTGTATCATTTGTTGTTGTTGTTGTTGTTGTTGTCGGTATTGTTGTTGTTGTTGTTGCAGATATAGTAGATAAACTATTGAATGTAAAATCTTCTATAAATGAATTTGATTTTGATAAAAATGTTTCGAAAAAATTATCATCACTATTATTATTGTTGTTGATTGTTGTTGTTGAGCTTTGATTTGTTGTTGTTGTTGTTGTTGATATTAATGAATGACTGGTGTTGAATATCGATGATGTTGATGATGATGATGATTGTCCATCATTATCATTATGATCCAACAACATTTCGATATGATTATCATTATTATGATTAAAATAATGATAATATTTTTGCTGTTGTACAACAACTTTAAGAAAATGATTTAAAAAGTGTAATAAAAGTAGTAGTAGTAATAGAATGTTAATTAAATTAAAATTATTCATTGTTTTTTCAATTCAAATCATCATTATTGAATTTAAATTTGTAAACACTGTGTGCGATGATGAGGATGGTTTTGCTTTTTGTTTGGTTTGTTTGTTCACCGGTGTCCATCGTTTGCGTGGAACAAAAGACCCAAGGTGGAAAAAACGGTTTTTTCAATGGTTTTTTTCTACTTTGATTATCAATTCACATTTTTGATTCGATTAAATGACAGCCGGAAAAAACAACAAACTGATTGAATTCACAATGGAAAAAAACATTAAAGATTTTTGTTGCTTTCCTATTTTACAAATAGATAAAGAAAAAAGGAAAAAATGAATGAATAAACATTGACATTGATTAGGTAAATGAAGAAAAATAAAATTCTACAAGTTTTGAAATTGAAATCCAAATCAAATATGATAATTTTGACCATTTTTTGAAGAAAAAAAAATTGATGATAATCAAATATTGTCATTTCAGAGAATTAAACAAACATTCGTTTCACTCTCCCACTCTCCTGTTTTTTGAATTTGTCATTTTGTCATTCATTCATTCATTCATTTTGTTTCCCTATCAAAACACCTGTCTATATCTACCTATCTATCAAAAAAAATCTATTTTGTAAAACAGCCATATGTGAGATAAAAAATTTTCTGCTTATCCAAATATTACACACACACAACGCCCAAATTTCATTTCAAAAAAAAAAAAAAAAATTTTCAGTTGAAAAAAATAACTTTTTGGTTTGAAGCAAAAATGTGTGTGTGTGTGTGAGGGGGGATAAGGGAAGCCAAAACAAAAACAACCGAAAAACTTTCCGGTTTTTGTCCCCCTGTTCATTTTTTTCATTCGTTTGTTGTTTTTCTTTACAGGAAATTTCTTTTCATCAAATCAAAACCAAAAAAAAACTAAACCAAGAAAAATGATTTGAATTCCGGAATATATAGAAAGAAAATGATATGAAAAACGAACAAAAAAAAATTTCTTATTTCTTTCATTTCTTTCTCATCATTATTATAAATAATAACTTAAAGGAAATGAATGTCATTGAATTCTTCAACAGTTTTGTTGTCGTGGTCTTTTTGGTTTGTTGCAAGTGACAATTTTTAATGGAAAAAAACTAACCCAGCCAAATATAAACACACACATTGGTTATGAAATGAAAATGTCCAATCAAAATAAAACAACAACCGAAACACGACAGTCAAAACGAGAAAAAAAAGAAGAAAATAAGGAAGAAAAAAATTTCGATCAATCTTGTGAACGAAAGTGAAAATGATATTAATAAATAAAGAATATTCTGGTTGGTTGAAATGTGTGGGGGAAAATATATGATTTTCTTTCAATGATTCTGTCAACCAGAAAACACTTGAATAATTCACTTTTTGATTCAGTTGATTCCTTTTTTGCCCCCCGTTCGATTGATTATGAATGAATGAATAATGTTTCTCTACAAGAATTATTCCTTATTAGCAGCAGTGATGAAATATTGGAACCAAAAAAAAGAGGTGGTGTGAATAAATGAATGAATGACCAACACCAATCACTGACATCAACAGAGAATCACTATCATTCCGGAAAAATTGGCCATAGGGTTTTTTAAATCTAATAAAATTTCTTAATATAATTCTCACTTTTGTTCACCTTTAAAAAATAAATATTAAAAAAAATCTTGATAATATTATCATCACGATCATGATATTATGATAAGAAGTGAATTTTGTTTGTTTGTTTGTTTTTTCGATAACAACAACAACAAACCTCAGAAACCTTTTCTTTAAAAAAAAGTATAGAATAATAATCAGAATGATTTGAAGATTTGAATAAAACATGAGTCAAACGAATCATCATCTTTATATTTTTTATTTCATTTCAAAAATTGAGAAACGAATTCTGTGATTGAAATTTTTGCTGGTGCAACTTTCTCTTCCCTCTCTCGATTTCTATAAATATGAACCAAAACAAACGATACACACACAATGATCAATGAATGATGACAGCAAACGTCAATTCTTTCGTTACTTCAATGAAAAAAAAACATTCAAACAAACAATGAGAAGAAAAAAAAATATCAAAAGAGTTTATCGATTTTTATATAGTGGGTGGGCTATTCAAATATTCAATATTTGATTTTTGATTTTAAAAAAATCAATTTTTTTTTGAAAAAAATCAAAATTGGATAATTGTATTGCGTAGTGTGTGTGTTTGGTTTGTGTTTGAAGATACAATTATCTGCACCCTGAGTAAAGAATAAAGGCAAAAAAATTCAAATCGATCATCGATTGATTGATTGTTTGTTTGTCGGTCGATAGCGATATTGATATTCGGTAAATCTTTTTTTTTTGAATTTCTTTTAAAAAAAACATTCAAATAAAGAAAATTTCCATCAAAAATGTAGATCAATTTCAATGTCCAATTTTGAAAAAATCAAACTATATCGACAATAATAATAATAATAATAATGGAAAAGTTTCCGGGAAAAAAAAGAACAAACATTATCATTATAAATTCGTAACTTGATCAAATAAACATTCGATTCGATTCAAATATTATGATTCATGATTGGACAAACAAACAAATAAAAATTGACTTTTATTTCGAAATTTTTATTTGATAGAAAAACTACAAAAAAAATGTATCGATATGATGATGATGATGATTGAAACGGGCGGAGAGAATTTTCTGAAAACATGAAATATTGATTGACAATTCACTTTCAATCTTTATTCAATTCTCCCATGTCAAGTTTTTGTTGTTTTGTTTTTCGGAATTCCATAGAATATCCATCATCGTCGAAAGAAACAGTTTTTTTTGGAGAAATTTTTTCGGAAACATTTTTTTTTGTTTCGAAAACTTTCTTTGCATCTGTTTTTGTTTTGAACTGAAAAAAAGCCGACCAAACCCCAGAATCAACAGAATCCAAATGAACTATTTAAAAAGAAAAGAAATAACCCGGTAAACTTGGTGCATTGAAAACTAAATATTTCTTCAAAAGAAAAAATAATAATCTAATTTTAAATATCCAAACAGAAAAAATCCTGTGTTTTTTTCTTCTATTTCTGTTTGGTTCTGTTTTTTTGATGATGGTTTTTAAACCGAAAAAAGGTTAATTTGAAGATAGAAAAACTGGCGTATAAAATTTCTAATTTGTTCTTCTTTTTTTTTATTTTCAGTGAATTTTTCGGCTAACAAAAAACAAAACGGAAAAAATATAAAAAGAATTTGTACAACGAATCTATAGAGAATTTCAATAATGATATGTTTTTTGGTGATAACCAACTCTCTATAGATAAAATTGTTCATCATTAGTTTTTGTTGTTGTTGTTGTGGGGCTATAGAGAGAATCATTGAGTGGGGACAAAAGTTTATCAATTGTAACTAAATATTATCTATCGGTTTCTACTTGAAAACATACTATGGATAGGATAATTAATCTATGGTAGAACTGAATGTGAGAGATTGATAATGATTATTGTTTCGTTTGTGTTTGTGATATCGAATATTATCATTATTATTTTTTATCGTAATTTCACGTTTTTTTTATCTTCTGAACAATATTTGAATGAACAAACAAACAGAAAATGCAATGCAGAAAAGCCAACCAATTACTTTGGCCACTTTTTTTTTCTTAATCATCATCAATATCATCCAATGGATTGTCACATGTAGTTATTTGCGATAATCTGAACCAAGACAAAAAATAACAGATAACTATACTATACTATACTTAGTATACTATAGTATACTATATCATTATCAAATATGGAATTAATTGGAAAAGCGAAAAAAAAACAATTATAAATAAGCATCATCATCATTATCATTATTAACGAATGAATAAATCAATGATTGTTTTTTCCGTCATATTTTTTCTTATTGTTATTCATTTCAAATGGAAATGGAATCTGTTACATATGTGACATTTAAAGAAACGAAAATAGAAAAGAAATATATTTGTTTTCAAATAACAAAAATGAAAAAACAAACTCCACATCAAAATATAAAAGTAAATAATAAACACGGAATCTTTTTTTCCTTTAATCAATTATTATCAGTACAGATTTTCATTTATTATTATGCAAATTTTTTCAACAAAATAAATGATAATATTAAACAAATAACAGCAGTAGCAGCAGCAAATATGAAATATGAATGAACCCTTTTCATCATTTGTTTACTTATGATTATTAATAATGTGTGTAGGTAAAAACAAACATAAACATACAAAAACACATTGATTATGCTTATATATGAAATTTTTTCTTTTCTTTTGCTTGCTTGGCGAATTTGTTTTGTTTTGTTTTTTTCTTGAATACGTTTTTCGGCTTGTTTGTCTGTGTGAAAGTGTGTTAAGAAAAAAAACGAACAAAAATCAATTATTGAATGAATGAATGACACAAACATCAGGAAAAAAAATATTAACGCGTCATCATTATTATTATTATCAGAAGTATTTCGATTAAAGTTCAATCGCTGAAATGAAATTTAAAAAAAATTCAACCGAAAAAAGATTTTATTAGAAAAAGATTCTGAGGATGATGGCAATCCAAACAAACAAAACAAAACAAAAATCATCATCACCCGAATATCCAAAAGAACAAAATCAACTTTCAAAAAGCAAAAACTCTATGAAAAAAAACTAATACAATCCATTAAACAAAGATGCCAAAAACAACAACCAACAAGCAAAAAGTTTATTTTGAAAAATAACCGAGGTCAAATTCATTTTATTCCATTCCATTCCATTCGACACAATTGTGG